AGGGCTAGAATTGTTCAACGAGAGAGACACGTTAGGTGATGTAAGATGCAGAGTAGACGTGCTTGTTAATGACCTCAGGAGTTACCATTTGTTGCTGGTTGATAGTGAAAGAGAAGACCATGTAAAATTGCATGATGTCGTGCGAGAAACTTGCTTGAAAATTGCATCAAAAGGCGAGCATGTATTTTTGGTAGGGAATGCTAGAGAGGAAGAAAGGCACCAACTACCGGATTCATTTGGTCCTTATACGGCTATTTCACTAACATTAGAAGGTTCCATTAGGCTATTTCCATTTGGCGAGGAATGTCCAAGGCTTAAGCTATTGCGTTTGGTATTCCAATCAGGCAAAGTGAACCTATCAAAAGATGCTTTCGAAGGAATGGAAGATCTCAGGGTCATGGAGTTGAACAATTCACACACAGAATTTTCGCTATCATGGCCAGGCCAAATGTTAACGAGCCTTCGGACATTGTGCCTGGATTATTGTGTATTGGACACTGGAACGTCATCAATGCTTGGATATATGATGCAATTGGAAATGTTGAGCTTCTTTAAATCCAGACTTCAAGGTGATCAGTTTCCAGTAGAGATTGCTCGGTTGAGTAATTTAAAGTCGTTGGATTTGAGGGTCGAGCGAAGTCAGCAGCCGTTGCCTCATGGTATCCTGTCAAGCTTGAAGAAACTAGAAGAATTGTACATGGGATCTCCTCACCATTTGCGGCTGGGGAGAGACAAAGAAGAAGAAAGAGGATGCCTTGAAGAGATCGTATCACTCTCTTGCCTTGAGTGTCTCCAAATTCATGTCTATGACCTTAACCTCCTATTTCAGTTATTGCACCAACTTCCTATTCAGAGGTTGTTAAGATTTCACATTGTAGGAGCTGATCATAAAATTAACCGGAGAGATCTTACTAGAGAGTATCAATTTCGGAACAGTTTCGAACTTATTTACTATCGGTATCATAAGAGGAGGTTTGTATTTAAACAAGCATTGGATCCTATAGTTAGCAGCATTGTTAAGAGAGCAGAGAATCTCACTTTTGAGGGCGTTCCCTGCTTGAGGAATCTGGTGAGCGACTTGGATGAAGATGGATTTGTCAACCTGAGAAGGCTTAAATTAGACCATGAGGTACACCAATGCCTTATTGAATCCACCACCAATTTAGTTGCTCAACAGGTTTTCGAAAATTTGGTGTTCATGGAATTAGATCATGTGAATTTGGAAGAAATATGTCGTGGGAATCTTCCACCTCGGTGCTTCAGTCAACTTCGGGAGATGAAACTTAAGTACACAAATATTAAGCATTTGTGGAAGGGGCCAATTGAACCTCTGTCACTTTGCAGCCTCAGAATTGTTGAGCTAAGATACTGCCATCGAATTGTAACTCTCTTCTCACAATCAACGCTGAAATGTCTAGTGAAACTCCAAAAGCTAGTAGTTCATCAGTGTACAAACTTGGAAAGCATTGTCATGAGGGAAGAAAGTGTGAACGAGGAAGTGCTTGAGCTACCCCTACTCGAAACTTTAGTGATGCAAGAATCAGGCTGCTTGTGTTTTGACTCCAAACGTGAAACAGCCAGAGCTTTTCTCAACCAGGTCACTCTCTCTCTCTGTTTCTTTGTCTCTCTTTCTGATATACTTCCTTTGTGTCAAAGAAGTATTTGACCATAATGAGCTCACTGAAGAAGCAATTTATTTTTCCCAAAAACTGTTAATTAAATATTCAAAATTGTTTCAGTGGTCATATTCTAGTCCTTGAATGAGTTTGCCAAAAAAAAATTTTGTTTTTTATTTAATCTTTTAGCGCAAGTAAAAACCAAATGGTGATGAATGAAATTTTGACAATGACAAATTTTGATAGCAAGGATTAATGCTATGATTGATAAAAGATACCTTTCCTCCAGGTCATTGACCGGGCATACATAAACATACATACATATGTGCGAAGATTCATGTTTGTATTACATAAGTAACTAAATTTTCCAGGTTTCGCTGCCTCGCCTGGAAGGACTACAGATTAAAACTTATAGGCATCGCCCCAAAGAGTTAGTGGGAGATGGAATGCATAGCGGGTATCTTGAGAACTTGAAGTATTTGCAGATCACCGATAGCTGTATCGGATGCATTGCCAAAGCTGATGGGGTGACAATATTACAAAATCTGCAGAAACTTGTGGTTAACAGTCACGGGATGCAATTACTTTTTGAGTTTGAGGGGCTGAAAGTTCCTGTGCTAACAAAAACAGAACTCGAAATTCTTCCCAAACTGGAGTTATTGAAATTACAACAATCCTCAGGATTAACCCACATTTGGAGGAATTTTCCAAGAGGGGTTCGAGTATTCCAAAACTTAAGAAAGCTTATAGTATGGGAGTGCAAATTACTAAAGTTTTTGTTTGATCCTCCTTGTGTGGCGAATATGCTTGTGAGCCTTGAGGTGCTTGAAATTAGTGATTGCTCGGAAATGTATGGAGTTATTGGTGGGGAATTAGGAGAAGATCAGATCAGTCAGGAAGATGATGCTCAGCAACAAGATATCGTTGGAAAACATAGAGAGAGCTCTGCATTGGAAAGAAGCAACAAGCTGGAATTTGTGTTTCCCAAACTGAGCTCTTTAATTTTGATAGGCCTCCCAAACCTTTTGAGTTTCGCTGGTAGTCGCCGCGAGGAATGTGAACTCAAATTTCCCTGTCTAACACATCTGAAAAATACTGCTGTGCCGGCAGTTGAAGCAATTGTGTCCAGGAAAGTTGGATGCACCAAATCTTGAGAAAGTTGAAGTGGTCGAGAATGCCATTCCTGTGGATTTAAAGGTACATTAATACATATCCCAATTCTAATTTACCATTTTAATTTTGTCCGATCACTCCACTATCCTTCAGTTTCCCTAGCTGAGAGTTGAGTATTTACGTTTTTCTTTAACTGTTTTTGAGTATATATTTCACAGGATAGAAAGTTCATCTTTTTGAGGGACTCAGCAGCCTCTGATTTCTACCGAAGGAAGAGATGGGAGTTGTCGTGATGTTAAGGTGCACACTTGTCATGGGCTTGCATGCACTCTCTCCTTTTCTGTTTATTTTAGTTCGATCTCATGCATCTTTCATTTATTTATTTATTTTTTTTAGGGGCGGGGTGGGGGTGGGGAAGGCTTGGAGATTTGATTTTCAATGTGCATTTATATGTATATATTTTTTTGAGGTATATGAATGGAACAATGATATGCTTACATGGTAATTGAATCTGGTTTGACTTGTGTTCAAATGATTAGGACCCTGAACAGTTTTTTTTTTACCTAATATACATACTTAAATATACTCACTTTTGGTGAACTTTAATTTGATTTACGTTTGTGCTATCTAACATACAAATAAATAATATGTAAGGGAAAAAATTTAAATAATAATAATAGGTAAGTTGGGGCTGTGGAATTTTGTATTGTCAGTTCTCTTATCAACATCTTTGATGTAGATATTAGTTTTTTTTCTTTTTCAAGCCGTAAATATTAGTATGTTGGATTAATTTTTTTGGGAGTTTCAATATCTAACCATGTAATTTTATGTTGGACATTATTCATATTTAATGTCGGATTGCAATATTCATGCCCTTTGTTTTTTTATCTGAGTATTGCAGGAGTCAAGAAGTTAAGCCAATAGTGTGCTTTTATGTACTTGGCAGTTGGACATGGATGAAAATCTTAGCTGTGCTAAAAGAATATTTGTGGAGCTCATAACTATATATTTAGGGCCCAATAAACAAATCATTGATAAATGTCCTTTTAGCAAATGCCTTTGAAAAGGACAAGAACTATAAGGCATTTTCAATCCGTTTAAATTTATTCCTAGATTGCAAGAAGTTTCTTTTCAAGATTCATTATTTTTAAAAGTCATTTTTTCATGCATTGTCAATATATACATGAACAAATGTAGATGCATGTCAGATAATTGACAGTTGAGGAATTGACATGACCTACAAAAGTGCAAATTGGATGTCCCAAAATGCCTATACGAGTAATTGATTCTATCCTACTTATTCTCTTCTCTTTTCCCTTCTCCATAAAATACAAACCCTAATAGCGAAGCTATATGCCGTCTTAGGCCATTCATCACCGCCTTCTGCTTACTCCACACCATCGCCAATTCTCACAAGCTGATTTTGACCAAATTTTTCGAAGAATCATTTGCGAACTATTGATAATTGTATACAGAACGAGTGCAGTAGCATCAATTCGTTATTGGGGCTTTCAATTGTATACAGCTATTTGGATTGTTGGTCACCATCATAGCATTTAAGGTTTGGTAGGGTGGAAGGTCACAAGTTCAAACCTTACCTCTCATCAATTGCCACTATATACGGCTTGCCACTTTAAGTGGTTTAAATCCATACGATTTTACCATATTTCGAACTCAATGAACAAACCTTAGGGGAGGTAAATATAATTAAATCACACAAACATATATATACATATATTGAAAGCACCAAAATGATCTGGTGATTTAGTTTTATTGGTAATATTAATGACTTTCTTCTATTTTCAAACATAAATGTAATTTTAAGTATTATTGGGGCTTTTTATACCCTACCAACCTTAAGTTTTGTTAGAAGTAGAATTCCTTATGGAAGGGAAATTGATTTGGAAAGGTTATAGGTTATAAGTTAATTCACTTGACAAAATTTTGTGTTAAATTTTATTGACCAGGTATTAATTAAGGTCATATTCTTAAAAGTCTTGACAAACTTAGTGTATGTTAACCTTCTTAAACTTTTATAAATTCAATGTCTCATTGCACAAGATAGTTATACAAAAAACGTAGACATGGTTGAATTTAATTCAAGTGCATAAGAATCATATTTTGTTTTTCTTTTTCCGTGATGTTACTGATTCCAAAAAAAATGCGTCCAAAGATTGACATTATTGACATATATCTAATCTAATTCTAGATTAATATTAATAGAATAAGTGACCCTTAATGGCTAAATTATGTTCCCAAGGTCCTTTTCCATTTTTTTTTGCGATTATTTATTTTTTTTAAACCAAGATGCTTGGATTTTATTGCCTTAGAACAGTTTTTGAGGGGGACAGAAGCCTGACCTCAATGATACAAGACAAGTACAAGACACATACTTACTTAAGTCGACGTCGCCGAATAGACGGGTAAGATAGTTTATCCAACCGATATTCACCCCTAACTACACCTGGTAAATCCCTCAAATGTTCATAAATACATACCGATTCAACCAAGGCACACCCCACATTGGCTAGAACATCCGCAACCTTATTGGCCTCGCGATAGCAATGCTTAAACTGTATACTCCCCTAAGAGAACTCGCAACACTGCTCGGTTATTCATGTAACACGGCCTTCAAATTTCATCTAGGAAAAATAAACTTGCTAAAGTGAATTTCCATCCTGAATAGAGTTTTGAAAATAGATTTCAGAATTAGTGAAGAACAAGAAACAAACTTTAGCTGGATAATATAGAAACTGAACATGAATTGGAAAACAAAATTTATGTAAATTAATTTTACATGGAAGAAATAGGCACCAATTGTGGAGAAACAAAAGAAAAGGGAGAAAATAAAAAAATGAAAAAGAAAGACAGATTGAATAAATCACCAATATGATTTCGTAGTTTTGAGATTTAGGTTTTTTTTTTTTCTGATAATACCCTTACCATATACTCCAATTACAATTAATTATGATGCGATATCTTGATAAACTAATGCCGAAACAACAACTTTTGGGGGTTTTCCTGTAATATCAATTTTCATGTTTTAGTTTAGGAATAAAATCCTATTTACGTAAACTTTCTCCAATAGAATTAGGTTTAGAATGGAATTATGCAATTATGAAGGAAAATCATTTATTGTAAACTAGTACTAGATTCCTTTGAATTGCTCTTAGAATATAAGACAAATAGGAAAAAAATCTAATCTTTTAGGAAATAAGTTAATCTCTTGGAGATACACTAAGGGAGAGCACATTTGGAATGATTTCTATGGGTTTTTCATGTAAGGTAATACCATCTTCGAGATATATTTTGCTAGAACAAAAACTTTGAAATATTTTTCGGAAATATAATTTCATTAAGACAGTTTTTATACAAAAAAAATTGAATTGGAATAAATTTCAAATGTAATGACTTTTGAAAACAAAACAAGTACGAAAAGTAATTTCTTGCTACAAACTTTAGAAATTAAACAATAAGATGAAATACAATTTTCTTAAGTATAAGCTAACTAACTTCGACTGTTTGAATGAAAAATTCTCAATTTTATTAATTAAAAACAAAGAATTTCATTCTATAACAAATAAAAAACTCAAGCTCTAAACCTCAAGTAAAATAAAGAAATTAGTGAGAAAAATCTCTGTACACGTCTCTCTATTCTCAGAAATTTTGGCTTGACAAATATTATAAATTGTATTTCAATCTAATTTCACAATAACTATTGGTAAACCATTCACACGCACTTGTCCAATCATTGGACAAATATTTTATCAAATTATAAGTATGAAATATAAAAGTTTATTTCTATGATTCAGGACAAGTGCCACTAGCTATTAATGCAAACCAGTAGCATTTTTTTTAGTAGAAAATAGTAATACAGTCATGACAAAATCATGATTCAAAAAAAAAAAGATATTTTAAAAAAAAGGACCACTCAGGTCAAATTAAGAAACTTTCGATTCCTTTTTAAAGATTCTTAAATGTGTCAATAGTCATTAGGCTCAAGAAATGAAACACGATAGTAAAACCTATAAACAATCAATGCATCAAAATAAAAATATGAAATAGGCATTTAGCAGATTGAAGTTGGTTAGGACGTTGAGTCTAGATTGAATTTGGATAAAAATTGATACGTTATTACATCTAGTTGTACATTTTAAGCAACAAAAAGCAACCCAAAAAAAACAAGTTGAAAGAAAGAATGTTTTAAGAAGAAATATCTTTTAATCTATAAGAAAGAATGGTGCACGAAAAGACTATCTTTTAATATCCTTTCTTACAAGTTGATGTATGACTTCTAATAAAAATAAAGTTCATTCCTTTTGAGTGTTTAGTTTTAACATGCTTGGTAGGATTATGAAACAAATATCAAATTTAAAATATAATTACATTTGATAGATATAAGTAACAAAATGAGTAACATTGTCCCACAAAACAAACCAAAGACTAAAATCTAAAACAAGAATTAAACAAGTAGACTAATATAGGAATATTAATTCTTTAACCATATATTTATTTGAGAGGATGTAAAATTGCAATAAAATCTCAATCTTATAAAATTATTTCTGTTTAGGTAGGATTTGGATTGGATCTCTTTGATTCAGATCCAGATCCATTAAATTTAATTAGACCCAAATCTAAATCTAGAATCTTATGGGTCTGGAAAAGTCAATTTCCTACAGTTTCCAATGCCTAATGAGCTACCACCTGATATAAACCTATCCCAATACTCGTTATTTGCATAAGTCCCAAGTCCCACCTGATATACCCAAATTATATTTCACTTGCATCATAAATACATTTTCCAACTTATCTTTTTTATATTTTTAATCACCTTTTTATTTCACATACATCACATCATAAAAAGTGTTACAATAATTATTTCAAATAATAACCTATCCAAACACCAAAGAGAAAGAGAAACATGCGTTTCCTCTTGTTGTACTCAACGATATGCCCATTGTGCTCGACATCGTGCTACTTAACAGGAAATCTCAAGAGAAACAAAATTGTTTGAGAGGTATCATGAGCTAGAAAAATTAGCCACGTTTACAGCTTGTTCCTGCTGAAAATTTCCCACAGATTCCTAATTAATGATTAGCATGACGAAGCTTCTCTAAAACTATTCTTGTTCATACAAAAATTAATTCTCAGGTACGTTGTACATGTTGAAATGTTGCCTCAAAATTCTGTTCGTTGTTTGGATATCATGAACTTGTGTATAAGTTAGCAAGGCACAAAAATACCTAGACTTGAGTCCGATGAAATATTGACCCTTTAAGTTATTACTGTTGTACTGGCCACCAACTTAATTATTCCTCAGGTCAAGTCGGTTAAACTTGCCTATAAAAGAGGGGTGAGGTTTTATACTGAGGATTATCTATTCTTCCCTAACTATTAACTGTCTACCTCCTTCTTCTTTCTCTTAGGCAACATATGCACGGTGAGCACATACCTACAGAAACGAAATCATTTTCAAGTGTAATAGGAACCCTACTCTTCGGCTTCTCTCCTTCTCTTCCTTGGTTTAATTCTATACATCAAAGCACCTCCTTCTAACAGTAAACATTATACGTCTAACCTATATCAAAATGTAAACAAGTATATGACTGTGGCCTGGGGGATTGGAGGCATTTGAACAAATATATTCAATAATTTTACATGTTAACTTCATTTTTTCCTTTTGATTCATCATATTCTTTTTGGGATGAGATTTAGCAATTCTTGGGCTAACAAATTGGGCAGAAGCATACTTTGCTTCTCTAGATTGCTTTGAATTTGCTCTTTTTGAGGCTAAAGGCAACTTCAATATTCTCTTGTCAGATGAACCTAACAATTTTGGGGCTAGCAAATTGGCCAGAAGCATTCTTTGCTTCACGAGATTGTTTTTGAGTTTATTAAAAAAAAAAAGATTGTGATTCTTGACTTGTACTCATTAAAGTAATTATGGAACGTCATTCCTTCACAAAGGAAAAATGACAAGGAAAAGATAGAAATGATGATTACCATTCCAAAGGCCATGAGACAGAATGTTATAACTATAAAGCAAAAATGGGATTCCTATTCCCGGTTACACTACAAAGTATCTTCTCTCCATCTAGCAGAAGATTTTCTGTTACACGAGTCTATATTACACCTATGTTATACCTCTTATTTGGTATAAGTTATTCAATATTTAGTGCACCTTTTCACTATGTTAGTTTATACCAAGACTTATAACAAATATTGCAAGACTTACACCAAGAAAATACAAATTAGTGTAAGCCTTGGAGTTTAGATTAATTTAGTTAAAATATACACCAAATATTGAACAACTCACACCAACCAACGAGACCAACGAGTTTAACACAAGTATAACAGGTCAGTGTGTAATAGAAGACCTTTGACCCTCTTCCTTATAAATGTATGTTAAATTATCGTTATAGTTTCTCATCTACTAAACAAAAAGTTTTGTTAGGTAATAAAACATTATAAGACAGGAAACAGACAATGGAAATTGCTAGGACAAGGGAAATTCCCACAGCACAGTAATTCATGTTTCACTGGTCACTGATAATGATGACAGGAAACAGACAATGGAACAAAACACTGCATATATCACCGTGAACCAACCTTTTCTGTTGCAATCTTCAACTTCTTGCCAGCCATTGAAGGAAGAAAAGAATATGACAAGAGAATAGCACTACGGTTATTCTGATCCCTGCACTCCATGAACTTGAATGATTACCATGATTAAAACCTACAAGAAAATTATCAAGATTCAAAAAACCAAGCCCATTGAGCTTCACAAAGAAATTTTTGCAACAAAACTGTAATCCTCGGTGAACCTAAACTTAGAGGGAGAGAGTGAATGACCAACCCAAGCACCATGCAACAAGTTAAAGGGCTCAAAACTTGGATCATTTACCAACCCAAAAACAAGATTAAAAGAGCCTTCAATAGTGTGTAACAAAATCCTAAAGATTGATCATTTGTAAACGAATAACTGAATGCAAGGAGGACGGAGTGTATTGGATTGATGCACATTCTAGAAGGCATTACAAAGGTTCTAAAATGTACAAAAGGAGCAAAAAAAAGGAATGAGTCTGCGTTTTTTGGCAAAATATTGGGTATTAGAAAAGGAACAAAAACTTGGAATGCTAAGTCCACCAATCATCAATAACAGATGGTTTTTTCGTTCTTGATTGAGTAAATAGCATCAATGAGGCCATGAAAGTGGAAGATCCACAAAGCCTGTAATCCAGTAGCACCAGGGCATAATGCTAACTGCTCCAAGTCTTTTAAGGGTTACATCCATAAAGTAAGACTTCCAACTGAATGTGAAAACAGGTCCTCCAAGCACAAAACACTAAGAAGAATGGAAGGCCTTAAAATGCAAAAGTTTGCCAGAGTAAGCTAAAATCTCGGAAGTCAAAATAGAGTAAGCTAAAATCTCAAAAGTCAAAATTGAAGAACATGCAAGTAACTAGAACACATTTGTTTTGTCACAATTGTGGATCAAGTCTAGCAAAAATTCTCATTTGTATGTAACTAAAGTTGCATGCTACCACAACTCACCCTGTGCTGGTTTATCTCTGTATGTTAAATTTCATCAGCTAACCTCATATTCTTGCAAAACCTCAAACAGTACGAATCATAAAAAACATTCAAGCAATGCAGTGTGAACTTGTGTCGCCCAAAATTAGTACTTTAAAACTCTCATCTTCAATTACAATTTGCCGTTTTTCCCAACAAAATCCTTGAGAATTACAGGGCTGACAGTGAAATCAAATCCAATGCTACATACTCAAGTGAAAGCAATATTATTCTACTCCCCTAGGCACAGAATTCAATTGAAGGGACTTAAATCTCCATTTTTCAATTTTCAGACATCACCCTCATTCCAAATGATAAAATCTATAACCATCCCAATCAAATTCGTTCATAAAAGGGGGAAAAGTAGAATAAAATGGAGGATGGACTTTTCTTTTATATCAGTAATAACAATAGTACTTACCAAGAGAAAATCAATCTATCTCAAGGTAAACTAAAACAGATTTAACAATTCACTTCTAGTTAATACCAGAAAATGATGCAGCTTTCCTCTTTGTCAATTCCAAACCCATCTTACATCCAATCAGAGTCACAAACAGAAGACATTGTATGCCACATGTGTAAGCAAATTTTCTTACAATACGATTATGGCAGTACACTTGTACTTTGCATTGCCAATGTTGTATATAACCATATCTTTCCTGATCAGTAAAATTTACAACTCTCTGAACTAAAATGAGTGACAAAAGGGGACAAAGAAAAGGGAAAATCAAAGGGAGATGAAGATTCTTCTATTTCAATATTATACGCATTTTACTTACCTAGAAAAATTAAACCAGACCACTTTAAGACAAACTATATCATAGATAAAGAATCAGTTGTACATAACACTGCAAAAAGATTCAGATCTCTCTCTTCTTCAAAATTAGATGCGTGCTATATCCAATCAAAAACACCAATAGACCCATAATAGACACAATGTATAAGCAGAATTCTTTAATCAATACTATATCAAAATTCACTTGTACTTCTGCCATTGTTGTACTTTACCAACACCTTCTATCAAGAACCTTCATCCTTCCGGTGGAACCCCTCAATGAGGAAAGTTGGATAATGCACCAGAAGAGATAAAGACGCAAAAATTTCAAAGCCATGAATAATCAAGAATATTCCTCTCGTTCTCCTTATAGTAAAGGATCAGCTAACTCTCCTCTCCCCTCTCAAATTTTTAACACATCCAATCAAAATCATCAGTAAATCCAGTAATACACATGCTATATGACCAAAACTCTTCCTCTATTACCACTATAGCATCTCTCTTGTACTCTGTGCTGACAAGATTGTAATTTGATATATCATGCATAACAAAACTCCATACGAGAATTAACATAACAAAGCAGCAAAAGAACAAAACCCACTAGTCCAACCATTCATATAATCAAGATTATTTCATTTTCCGTTTTAGTTTTTTTACCCCCCAAACAAAAAGTATTTACCTCTGAAGATACATTGCTTCCTCAAGAGCACACCTGAGGCTGGACTCTAGGTGGCCAAGGCCTTCACAGGACTCACAGTACTTCCCAGGACAGTCAATTCTATTGCCCCAATACGCATACTTTCTCAGAATCGCTTAGCATTTTTGCTCTGTATACTTGTTCCAGTGGTGGAATAAAAGAACTCCTCTGTGGAAAAGAAAGAAGATGCAAGATAGAAAATAGCAATGCAGCCAACGGTAGCTATACGGACTATAAGAATGGAAGATCTGGGTGGTGGTCTCTGTCGAGGTTTTCCTCTCTGGGTTTTGTGTTAAAAGAAAATAGGATTTTTTTTTTCTGTTTCTAATCCTTTTCATTTTCCCTGGGCAAAGAGCCTGAACAACTCTCGAACTTTCATGTTTTTGTACTTTTAACCCTTCATCTTTTGGGATGATATTTCATTTTTTTAACTTGCATATTACATAGGCCGGAAAAATTGAACTTTTCGTAACTAGAGTTAATTAAGTGGCCTACAATACAGAGAGGGGGGTGGAACCGTTGGTGGTTTGTCCAAAATAAAATTTCTTCAATTTTATTCACATAATTTTTTTTCCAAACAAATCAAATTACCAAATACTACTTTTTTTGAGAGATACAAATTATTACCTATTTGGATTTTAGTTTTTCAAAAAAAAAAATTACGTTTTTTGTGAACAAATTTCTGAATCACTTTTTATTCTCATATATGTCAAATCGCTATAATAAATTTTTCTTAAAATTTTCAAAAAAAAAAATCAATATGAACAACCTTTTAACCCAGAGTACACTTATCTTTTGTCATTTGTGAGTCATGACATCTAAAGCCCATGATCGAAAATAACAAATAGCTATTGTCCAAATTACATTCTACTTATAATACATTTTTCTCAAATGAAATATCTCCGAGTTATGGAACCAATTAGATTCTAACCTTTGAACAGCAAAGTGTTCATCAATGATTCACTTTCAAGGCATTAATTAGACAAAAGTGACAAAACAAATATATAAACAAAAATAGTGCCAATTTAACTCTTGTAGGTTAGGCAATTTAACATTTAACCCCTTATAGCTTTTAAACCTTAGCATCTGGTTGGATGGCTGTACTTGTCAAAAAACATGAACCTAAAATACACAACTACAATAACACCTCTTACAATATCACAAAAAAAATCCCAAAAACGTCTAAAAATGCCAAAAAAATAACTAAAAAAATAAAGCAAATAAAGCAAAACACATACAAACACACATATCTCATCATCATCGCTCCTTCTCTTTCCCCCATTATATTCCTTTCTTGGTAGGAATCGCTATTGGGCCAATAGCCCTACCATCTATCAACTATCCCCACCTCCCCTGCAACTTCTCCCATCCATCCACCTTTCATTGCCCCATCAACCCTCACTTCTGTAAGAGAGGGAAAACGAGTTTGACAATAAGAGAAAGGGGATAGGGGTTTAACAATGGAAAAGGAAGGGCTTATAGGTGATGAGTGTTGATCTCGTATGTTTTAAGTGTATTTTATTACCTGACTTTTAGTGTGCTTTAACCATTTTGATAGCTAAATAACTAAATTTTTAGTGAAATTTGCATTTTGTGGTTTAAATGTGAAAAATTGCATTTCTATGAATCTAAGTGGTGAAAACTACCGGACCAGTGGCAACAGAGGTGTGGGGTTATTTCGCTAGTCGGTTTGGTATTTTGACGCAAGGCAGAGAGGTGCATGCGCGACTCGCCAGTTGGTTTTTTTCCCACGGTTGGGTGAGGAGTAACCACATTAGGGTTCTCCTCCGTCTAGTGATTCTCTGGTTTATATGGAAGTCTCGAAATGCAGCTCGATTTGAGGGTGCAGTCATGGCCCCTAACCAGATTATCGTACAGGTGTCCTCATTTATTGGGCAAATGGGTAGAGGGGGACGGTTGAGGCGGGACAATTTCAAGGGGGACGTTGACTGTGAGTGGGCGGATTTGGGTAGGGCCAAGAGGAGACACATTGTGCCCCGAGCAATCGTGTGGTCAAAACCAGTAGGGCACGCGTTCAAGTTGAACACAGATGCGAGCGTCGCCGGGGCCGGCGCATCGGGGGGAGGGATAGTACGATCCACAGATGGTAGCTTGGTATTTGCCTTCTACAAAGAATTCGGGGAGGCCGATGTGATCACGACAGAAGCGAAGGCTCTGCTAACAGGTTTGCAACTGTGCCATGAGCGGCATGTAACACAGGTGGTGGCGGAGGTGGACTCAAGTACTTTGGTGAGCCTGGTGTCGTCTTGCGGAGCTGCTCGTTGGCCTTTGGTCAACACCCTTCGTCATATACAGTGGTTGGTGGCGCAACTGGGTGTTAAGGTGGCCCATATATTTCGGGAAGCAAATACAGTGGCGGATGCCCTAGCATCATCGGGGCTACGGCGAGATGTTATCTTTACAACTAGGGCAGATCTCCCTCGGAAGGCACGGTCTGCGCTACAGTTAGATAGGCTAGCAGTTCCTTCGGTCCGTCTTTGTGGTAACCGGGGGTAGTCCTACCAGGGTTAGTTAGACGATCAACGCTGGCTCTATGTACCGTGGTTTTGTTTGCAATAAAATAAAATAAACTTTTCTTAAAAAAAAAAAAAAAAGTGGTGAAAACTTCATGCTTTTATAGCTTTTTATAATTCAATCATCAAATAAAGTGAAGTGAGATATTTGGACGATTCTTGACGATTTAAAGTGATTTAAAGTGAACATGAAGTATAAAATGATAAAAATGTGAAATGTAATCAATTGGAAAACAAGAAAAGATTGGCAGCTCTAATACCTTTTGATATTTAGCTATATAGTGAGCTACAAGCATTGGATTAAGATGATTCTTAAATCATTTTAAAACTAAAACATAGGGATACATTTCTGATGAAGATGTCAAAATTCAGTTCATACATTTTCATGGTTAAAAAACTGAAACACAGTCATGAATTTTTGCTTCTGAAGATTGAAACAAAGTTCTAATCAATCGAGGGTATTTTAGTCATTTCTCAATCTATAGAGTTCAATTGAGATAATTCTTGATGCATTGGAAACTAACTCAATAACGTACAACTTTCATATTTTGTGCAAAATTTAGTTCAACTTCCATCATCAAGAAATTTGTAGTTCAATTTAGAGTAAAAATAGAGCAATTTCCAAAACACAACCTAAAATGCGACCCTTCACTTGCATTTTGACCCCACATATTCATATTTCGGCTACTTTATAGCTGGAAATAGTTGAACTTCAACTTGTAGTTCTTTCCTACTATATTTTGGCCAATTTTCTGAATGGATTTCGGCTGGAAAGTGCAAGAAGCATCTTGGAGACTTAGAGAATCAATATTTGGAAATCTCAAGGCACAATTTATAAAACTTGAAACATGATGTTAGGAGCAAAATCTTCTATAAATAAGGTCTCTTGTGAACATTTTTTTGTAACTTTGGAGCCTAGAGGAGAAAATACACCAAATGTAGTCTTTCACTAGAACTTCCTAGTTCATTAGTGTAGTATAGTTTAGTATAATTAGTTTTATTCAATCCTTGTATATAGCTAGACATAGATGAAGTTAAGGGTGAAAATGGAGAATTTGGAACTCAAGAGACATGGACGATATTTCTTCTATCACATTGTTTCTTATATTGATTTTCATGTTTAGTGAATATATAAATTTGGCTCTCGTTGTGTTATATTTATGTCTTGCTAGTTTTTATACCTAGGGGATGGATGAACTTCTATGATTGTTAAGTTAGTTTTTCATGGTTATTTGAGTTTATTTCTTGAGCAAGTTAGTTAGAACTTTTGTTATTTCAATCATGATTAATTAACCATTAGTTGTGACTATCTAAAAGTGTTGTTTCATCAATAACCATTATGATTTAATACTAGTTCATGAAAGTGTTAAATCTAGGAAGTTAATTCACTAATATAGGGTTACACGTTTGTGGCTTTGGTAGCTTATTCAATGTAATTTCATAGAATTTAATGAATCCATAACTAGTTTCATATCACGTTAGTAGATAAGGAGTAATTATATATATGGTTGGTATATTCGCGAAAGCGTATATCACATACATTTGAAAATTATGCCATAACTAACCAAAGTAAATGAATTCATTGAACTAGTAATTTCACTTACAAGAGTAGTTAGTAAATCCATAACTCTAAGAATCTCTTTGTTATTGTTTTTACCGATTCTTTATAATTCATAGTCTAAATTTACTTGCTTTATTTGTAGTAGTCTAAATAATAGAAGAGTTCAAAAATCACCAATAGTTGATAATCTTTCCTGTGGGATTAACACCTAATATCTCTTTTATTCGATAAACAATCTGTATACTTGAAGAAAATGGGTTGTTTAGGTTTTTAAACTTTGGTGCGAAATAAAAATCTTGTCAATGGAGGGCAAAAAAAGGAGTGAATAGGGAGAGGACCTCATGGTCATGGGTGAGATAGGAGAAGGATACGAGAGTGGAGAAGGGACAGCAAATCCCAAGGCGTAGGAGGGAAAGAAAGGTATTTCAAAATATCTCAAAAACTGTAAAAACACCTTAGAGCCGTACATCTAAAAACTTTTTAAAAACACATCATTTTCATATCATTATCATTATTACTATCATTATCATTATTATCATTATCATTACTATTATAAAAGTTACCATGAGTTTTGGTATAGTTGAACTATGCATTTTGATGGTCTTAATTTTTGTTATCCCCATTATGCCCTTATTAATTTTTTTTTTTTTTTTTTTTTTTTTTTTGAGAAAGGAAAGATAAGCAAGTCCTATTTCAAAAATACCAATAAACCAAACCATTCATACATTCTTTTTTTTTTTTTTTTCCCTACTATCAAAATGTATAGCTGCTTTAATGACCCCAAGATGTTTTTTTTTTTTTTTTTTTTTGAGCCAGCAATGAATATTATCTTCTACGTCGCTTACAGGGCAATGCCCATGTGTTTCACACCAAATCCCTAGTTCCCTTTATTCTTCTAATGGAAGGCACTCCTAATCTGTTAAGCCTAATTTCCCCCCTGGCCAGCATCGGAATCGTGTACCAACTGTCATAAATCCTAACCTCTTCTAGCGGGTGAGAAACCCCCTCATTGGACAAGATGTCAGCAACCTTGTTCGATTCCCTATAACAGTGCATGAAAATAGGACGGTCCCCCGCCAGGCTCAATATTTGCTGCACCTCTCTCTTAATGTGCCAGGGGCAATGTAGCCGCCCTTGTAATATCCCAATCAACAGTAATGAATCAGCTTGTATAGCCAGACGTTCAACTCCCTTCGCACGACATAATCGGATGCCAACCAAGGCAGCCAATGCCTCTGCTCGTAGACTCGTGCCCTCTCCAAGGAACGCC